TGCCAGTCCTACTGTCACGCGTTTGCTTTCTACTGTCGTCACTGACCCCTCTTTTGAGTCCGCTGCTGCGTCTGCTCTTGTCGCTGAGCTTGTCGACTTTGCTGCTCGCTGTCGTCTAGACTACGCTGCCAGTCTTGTTGCTGAGTCGGCGTCTGTCTGTCCTCCGTCCGTCGGGGGTGAGTGTGCTCTTGGCACGAACGTCCTTGAGGACAGGCAGGAGGAGTTCCAGTGTCTGGCTGCTGCTTCACCTCATCTCGCATCTGTACTGCTTGCTCCTGAGGGAGACCCGGATGCACTAGACATCCCGACTCCGCGCTCTTACGCGGAGGCCGTAGAGGGTCCCTACTCCTCTCAGTGGCAGGAAGCTATGGATGCAGAGATGGCTTCCTGGAAGTCCATAGGCACCTACGTTGACGCGGTTCCCCCTCCTGGGGCGAACATCGTCAGTGGCATGTGGATCTTCAGGGTGAAGCGGCCGCCGGGCTCTCCACCTGTCTTCAAGGCACGGTACGTCGCTCGTGGCTTCAGTCAACGGCAGGGAGTTGACTACTTTCAGACCTTCTCTCCCACCCCGAAGATGACTACTCTTCGGGTGCTGCTGCACATAGCCGCTCAGCGCGACTACGAGCTTCACTCTCTCGACTTCAGCACTGCGTTCTTGCAGGGTAGCCTGCACGAGGAGATCTGGCTGCGCCGTCCACCTGGCTTCACTGGGACTTTCCCTCCTGGCACCCAGTGGAGCCTCCGACGGCCAGTCTACGGTCTCCGCCAGGCACCGCGTGAGTGGCACGACACACTGAGGACTACGCTTGCGGCTCTTGGGTTTGCTCCTTCTACTGCTGACCCGTCGCTGTTTCTGCGCACCGACACTTCTTTGCCGCCGTTCTACATCCTCGTGTACGTCGACGACTTGGTCTTTGCCACAGCGGACACTGCTGGACTCACCTACGTGAAGTCCGAGCTGCTGAAGAGACACACGTGCACAGACCTGGGTGAACTGCGCAGCTATCTTGGCTTGCAAATCACTCGGGACAGAGCACGCCGCACCATTACCTTGGCTCAGTCACACATGGTGCAGCAGGTCCTTCAGCGCTTCGGCTTCACGTACTCCTCGCCTCAGGCCACTCCTCTGTCTACTCGCCACTCGCTCTCAGCTCTGCCTTCGGATGAGTCCGTAGAGTCGAGTGGCCCGTACCCAGAGCTTGTTGGCTGCCTCATGTACCTGATGACCTGCACACGACCTGACCTTGCATACCCTCTTAGCATTCTTGCACGCTATGTTGCTCCTGGGAGACACCGACCAGAGCACATGGCTGCAGCGAAGAGGGTGTTGCGCTACCTGTGCAGTACGTCGGGCATGGGGCTAGTGCTTGGAGGGCGGAGTCCAGTGGTCCTTACAGGACACGCGGACGCTTCTTGGGCTGACGACCAGGCTACGCAGCGGTCGTCACAGGGTTACACCTTCAGCCTTGGTTCCGGCTCTGTCTCGTGGCGGGCTACTCGCTCGTCTTCGGTTCTCAGCTCCAGTTGTGAGGCTGAGATCTACGCAGGGGCCATGGCTGCACAGGAGCTTCGCTGGCTCACCTACCTGCTGACTGACCTTGGAGAGCCGCCTCGTTCTCCTCCAGTGCTGTACGTAGACAACAAGGCCATGCTGGCCTTGTGTCGAGAGCAGCGTCTGGAGCACAGAACGAAGCACATTGCTCTTCGCTACTTCCTTGCTCGTGAGCTACAGCAGCGTGGACAGTTGCGGCTTGCGTACGTGGCCTCTGAGGCCAACACTGCTGATGTGTTCACCAAGGCACTCGCACCTTGTGACCATCAGCGCTTCTGCACTCAGCTGGGACTTGTACCTGTCCTACCTCACTTGCTCACCTCTTGACCTTGCTTGTACTCTTGCATATATATATATATATATACCTGCTCTTCCTTGTTTAGCCTTATATATATGTGTGTCTAGTATTGCATGTGAACTGGCCTTGTGGCCTTGACCTTGTGCTCGGACTGTGTGGTGACTTTGTGATCCACCCTGAGCTTTGTTTTGCTTTGCTTGACTGGTCTTGTGACCCCTTGTTCTCCCCCACTTTGCCTATGGGGGTGTGTCAGATTTATATGACATAGTTTCTGTAGGCTATAGTGGGGTAGCACATATGGGGTACAGGTTTCTAGGGTTGTATTTGTACCCCAATCTTTCCTTAGTCAATTCATTCCTGTTCATTACTTTCACACAGCGATATTCTTACTGGCCCGAGATGTTGATCGACGTACAACGACACGTGGCATCGTGTCCCACTTGCCAGCTCATGAAATCATCGCGGAAGCGGCCGGCAGGACAGTTGCAGCCAATACCACCCCCAGAGCGTGCTTGGCAGCAGGTGACGATGGATTTCGTCACGGGGTTACCGTCCGGGGCAAGTGGGAAGGACGCGATCCTGGTCGTCGTCGATCGACTGATGAAAATGGCACATTTCGCAGCCTGCAAAAAATCAATCACAACCGAAGAAACAGCACGCCTCTTCATCTCCACCGTCGTTCGACTGCACGGGATACCGGCAGCGATCATCGGCGACCGATACACGAAATTCATTAGCAAATTTTGGCGGAACCTGTGGCAACAATTCGGCACGCGATTACAGTTCAGTTCCTCATGCCACCCCAAGACCGAAGGACAAACAGAGAGGACAAATCAAACCATGGAACAACTCATTCGGGCCACGTGCGACGACCCCACCACTTGGGAACAACAACTGCCGCTCATTGAATTCGCGTACAATAACTCACCCTCCGCCACAACCCAACAGTCACCGTTTAACCTGAATTACGGACAAGACCCGACAGTACCTATGACCCCGAATCCCGACAACCCGGTGCCACGAGCACAACAGTTCGCCAAATTTTTACAAGCAGCACGGACCTGGGCACCAAACGCAATAAAAAGATCGAACATCATCGCTAAACGTAACGCCGGCCGCCACCGCCGACCTGTTACTTACCAGCCTGACGACCTAGTTCTACTTGACACCCAGAACCTCCGCCTGCCCATCACCCCAAAACTTCGCCCCCGATACTGTGGACCATTCCGCATCAGCCACATGATTACGCCCGTCACCGCCCATCTCCTCCTCCCCGCTGACTGGTACGTCAGCCCGTCATTCCACGTCAGCCTACTTCGCCCCTATATACCGTCCACAAGCCAACTGCCACGTAATCGCCCAGCCAGCATGACACGACCGCCGACTGAACCAATCATCACACCCAAGAAAATTCTGAGCCACAGAGTTCGTGACCCTCGAGGAGTCCAAAGGATCGAGTTCCTGATCCGCTAGAAAGACCGTACACCCACCGAAGACAACTGGGTTCCCCTGGACAGAGTCGAAAACCACCCCGTCTTCAAAGAGTATCCGAGCAGCCGAAACTTCAGGGATGTACACGCGCTTTCGTAAGGAGGACCTCCATAGGGGGGGGGGGGGGGGGGGGGGGGGGGGGGGGTAGTGTAAGGAAAATTCTTTTTCCATACTTCGCGTCCCCGCTCAGCGCGTACACCACTGTAGCACCACAGTCAGCACAGTACCAATCGCAACCCTCGCATCGACAATCCTCCCGCCACCTTCGCACGTCGCACCCCGACCTCACGGTTCGGCGGGTAACCCGCGCTCCGGGCCTCTGCTTCGACATTTTCCCAAACCTGAGTCCCAGGCCCGTCGCGCGACAACCACAGTCCATTACCGTTACCACTGTTTTCGCTATATATTCTTCGCTCATGCCTTCACTCATTGTACTCTTGCTTCGATAGTGCAATTCTCGCATTACTCAATTGCATTCGGAACAAATGCTAAAAACACCACTCGTATTACAAGCTGTATATTAATTGTAACTTTAGAAGCGTTATCTATTCTATTTTTATTAATAAATTCTCATAGGAAGGCTAATTTGATACGGTTTGTTATATCTAGCCCCCGCATTATAGGCTATAACATTGGATAGTGTTCTTAGCATTGTATTGTGCAGTTCAATATCTTCAAGTTTGTAACCCTAAAACACTACTGTGACAGCTAGAGACGAGAGCTTTTGTTGGCTTGGAGAAGGTCGCACCAATCACCTCACCAGCCACGTGTATTCAGGCCAGACGTGATAGCCCTCGGTGTCTTCGAAAGAAGCACCTTCGTTGCCACGCCACTGACCATCTTTTGCCTCTGATTGACCATGCACTTGCCCAACTGACGTGTTTGTCACTTTTGAACCGTAAGCCGTGAGGTCTCGCCAACTGTGCATATTCTTGATTCCACCTCACGAAACCACGGAAACACGTTCCCAAACGCTCTGTTACGTTGTGGAACCCTGCTAATATTCCGATATCTTTCAGAAACACCTCTGCTGTATCTTCTCCGCAGAAACACCTCTTCCATGTCACCCGCTTTCTTTCGAATTCAGCCGCTTTTTCTCGAATTCGCCACTGCCTCCTCGCCACATTCCGCCTTTGATGGCCACATTCGTTGGTATCGTGCCTCTTTTTGCAACCATGTCCGTTACAGCAGATCGCTATTGTTCATTCAGTAACGAAACCTAGTTTCGACTAGCTACAGTTACTTCGTAGAAGACTCTCGATCGAAGTCCTCTGTCAGCTGGCATCATGCGAACGTCCGCAATATGCGGCGGCGAGCGCGCGAGGCTGCTAGTTAGCCTTCCGAGCTCGAGCAGAATAGCGGGAGTCGCAGCCGCGGGTCAACTGTATGCGGATCCACTGGGATTATTCCAAATAATACGGTTACGATCGTCAAATAACAACTTCCGGAAAGGCCGCCACGGGTTCTCGCCTAGCGAAAACGGCTCGGCTAGTGTCCACCTGTCAGGCCGGGATAGGCTGTTCCGCGGCGCGTCTGCTCAGAGCCGGCACTGGGACTGGGTGGAGAACAATCCTGGCGGTGATACTCCTTTTAGCGACAGCGATAGAGACGGCAATCCCTATGGCCCTGGCAATGCCTATCGCCTAAGCGATTCCGATGGTGACCGAAGATATTCCAGTGGTGATGATAAAGCCTATGGCTCCGGAACAAGCTATGATCAGGTTTCGCTGCGCGCTGATGCCAGCAGGTCGCCCATGATCCCTCACGACGTCGCCAAGGCTCTCGTGGACAGCTTGGCGAAGACTCACGAAAACTCTCGCGATGGGGATGACGATGTTGAAATCGAAGTTGAATCTGAAGCTGAGATTGATTTTGTGAGTGATAGTGATGACAGCACAGCGGAAGGAAACACCGAGAGCGGCGGTGCTTACAGCGACAAGTCGGCTGCTGAAGTTGAAGCATCTCGAAAGCCGGCGCAAGTTGACGTTCAGGTACCGGCTACAGGACAAGGAGATCCGCAGAAGCCAGCTCGTACGAACAGGAGCAGTAACAGTAACCATCGCGCTGGTAACCACCGTAAAGGATCCGAGATCCACTCTGGGCATACTAGAAGCAGTGAAGAGGAGGTGGCGCTGAGTTCCTGGAGCTGGCCTGCTGAGTCAGCATTTGCTGACTCAGCATCTTCTCGTGACACGTCATCCGTTTCTGCGGGCAGCGGCGAGGCAGTGGTGGTGCGACAGCTGGCGTTTAACGGTTGGTCGTCTGACGTGGTTCGGGTTGCCCGGGCTGGACCACCCGCTTGGCGTCGAAAGGCGCCGATCACAAGTGAGTTGGTTCTGGTTCTGGTGAATGTGATGGTTATCGTAATGCTGTGATGGTTATCGTAATGCTGTGATGGTTATCGTAATGCTGTGATGGTTATCGTAATGCTGTGATGGTTATCGTAATGCTGTGATGGTTATCGTAATGCTGTGATGGTTATCGTAATGCTGTGATGGTTATCGTAATGCTGTGATGGTTATCGTAATGCTGTGATGGTTATCGTAATGCTGTGATGGTTATCGTAATGCTGTGATGGTGTGATGGTGTCTGGTCCTTCCCCTGTCATCCTCCTCTCATCCTCCTCTCATCCCCCTCTCATCCCACACCCTTCCGCTCACGCCTCTTCTGATCGCCTCCCTGTGGTGTGGTGCTATCCCCTTTCCGCTCCCCTCCCGCCCCGATTCCTCAGAGCCTCTTCTGGTCGCCTCTCTGCTGTGCGGTGCCGTGCTGCTGTACCGAGGGACTCGGAGCGACAAAGGTGCGTTTGGGAGTGGTGAACCAGAGAGTGCATGAAGCTACTTTTGAGGCGCCTCGAAACATGAGACGACTTTTGAGGCGCCTCGAAACATGAGACGACTTTTGAGGCGCCTCAAAAGTGCTGCTGTACCGAGGGACTCTGAGCGACAAAGGTGCGTATGGGAGTGGTGAACCAGAGAGTGCATGAAGCTTGTGAAGGCAGAGCAGGGATTGACCAGACGAGGGGTGGGTGGGGAGGTGGAGACGGAGGGGCTGGAAGCCAAGGCGGAAAAAGATGGAATGGGGGTGGATCCAGCATAGCGCTGTGCTTGGAGCCCCAAACGGGAGCCATAGTCTTTACGTGGCAGCAACTGATTCAACTTGTAGAATTCATTGTTACTGAAATGTTTGCTAGAAGTCTCTCACGCGTTTTCTTTCTTTCTTTCTTTCTTTCTTTCTTTCTTTTTTTTCTTCTTTTTTTGGCTTTTCTCAATTCAGTGTTGCGATGCAATGAACCCACAGTAAGCCTCGCCCTCTCGTGCGACACCCATGCTTTCGTTTGAGTGCCTTGTTCACTTCACACCATCGTGTCTCTCCCTACAGGCATCCCTCTGCTACACTCACATCGTGATTCAGTCACCACCGTCAGCGCTCATGAAGGTGAAACAACTTTTTCTCTCGATATAACCACCTCCCATTAGCAGATTTCAATTCTGATTATCTTTTTGTAGGCTGCTGCCCGCTGTTCGAGATTTCAACAGAGGAAGGGAATGTCCAGCTCTGATGTGTTATAGTTTGCCGTCTCCTTTTGTATGAGTCTGACTTGAACAACCAAATTCTGTGTGCACACTGGAGAAAGCGCACTGGAGAAAGCGCACTGGAGAATAGGAATAGAACAAGCACGTTCTAATGTGTTCTCCCAGTGTGCTTGCTCGTTCCATCCTGGTAGATATGTCATCCCAAGACACTGATCAGGGGAGGCGAGGGCTGAAGGCAGGTGCAGAAGCAGCAGAGGGGGAGGCGGTGGAGGGAGGAGAGGAGAACAGGAGAGAAGGAACGGGGGAAGAATCGAGTGAGGGAGAGAGTGTGAAGGAAGACGGGAGGGGAATCGGAGAGGGAGAGGGGGGGAGTGCGGTGGGGGAGGGGGGGGTGACAAAGGGTATGGGTGCTGGGGGATGGAGAGGGGTGGTGGTGGGAAGAGGGAGGGAGGAGAGGATGAGGGTGGTGGTGGCGCCTCATGTGAACCCGGAGCATGCCCGCATGCTGGAAGGACTGAAGGAGCTTCAGGTGAGATAGGGACTCCAGAGTGATTGCAAGCAAGGTGAATGGCGTGAGTCGACTCAAAACACGGCTGGAAAGGGGAAGTGGAAGAGGATGC